AGTTTGTGAAGGTTATTTGGTAGATAATTAATTTTAAAAAGAGGTCAGTGAGTAAGTGGAGACTTTTATCCTAAAATTCAGCAAAATTGCTCAAAAAACAGGTAGAAATGAGACTGACTAAGATCAGGTGGATTGTTACAAGCTTTCTGGGCGCCAAAGAAGGGAAGTTTTCACAGATAAAAGCTAAACGAACGTATTTATTTTCTGAGTTTGTGAAGGTTATTTGGTAGATAATTAATTTAAAGAAGAGGTCAAAGTGGAGGCTTTCATCCTAAAATTCAGCTAAATTGCTCAAAAAACAGGTAGAAATGAGACTGACTAAGATCAGGTGGATTGTTACAAGCTTTCTGGGCGCCAAAGAAGGGAAGTTTTCACAGATAAAAGCTAAACAAACGTATTATAGTAACATATTTTTTTCTGCCTAAGATCAGGGGGATTGTTAAAAGCTTTCTGGGCGCTAAAGAAGGGAAGTTTTCACAGATAAAAGCTAAACAAACGTATTTTAGTTAATCATTTTCTGAGTTTGTGAAGGTTATTTGGTAGATAATTAATTTAAAAAAGAGGTCAAAGTGGAGACTTTTATCCTAAAATTCAGCTAAATTGCTAAAAAAACAGGTAGAAATGAGACTGACTAAGATCAGGGGGATTGTTACAAGCTTTCTGGGCGCCAAAGAAGGGAAGTTTTCACAGATAAAAGTTAAACGAACGTATTTATTTTCTGAGTTTGTGAAGGTTATTTGGTAGATAATTAATTTTAAAAAGAGGTAAAAGTGGAGACTTTTATCCTAAAATTCAGCAAAATTGCTAAAAAAACAGGTAGAAATGAGACTGACTAAGATCAGGTGGATTGTTACAAGCTTTCTGGGCGCTAAAGAAGGGAAGTTTTCACAAATAAAAGTTAAACAAACGTATTTTAGTTCATCATTTTCTGAGTTTGTGAAGGTTATTTCGTAGATAATTGATTTAAAAAAAGAGGTCAAAGTGGAGACTTTTATCCTAAAATTCAGCTAAATTGCTCAAAAAACAGGTAGAAATGAGACTGACTAAGATCAGGGGGATTGTTACAAGCTTTCTGGGCGCCAAAGAAGGGAAGTTTTCACAGATAAAAGTTAAACTAACGTATTTTAGTTCATCATTTTCTGAGTTTGTGAAGGTTATTTGGTAGATAATTAATTTTAAAA